TATTTTACTTTTCATCTCTCAATAGTCTTCTTTTCAGATTCTCGCTCTTGTCCATGCGGTTCACTATCTTTTTCGTATGACGGTTTCATGGCACGCGACTCTACCTGTCTCATGTTGATCCTTACTCTGGGCTGATTGTGGTCGAGGGATGCGGAACGAATGCTTTGTTGGACTGTAGTTTGTTTAGATCAGACTCTACCACTTCATTGGACCTTGGCTCAAATCATTGCCGTTCTCTGTTTGCTTTTCTTCTAACACTTTCATGCCTCACGCGTTAGTTTGGGTCTGGTTCCGTCTTATCATCTCAGTTATGCTTGGGCTAGCTTGTTTGGGCTTGAGACTTTTGCATTGTGCAACTTCTATCGGAGTTCTGTTCTCTCCCCAGAGTTTTGGTTGGGCGGGTTTTATCAATATTACTACCAATACACCTGTTTCCAACATATACAATTGCTTATGTTGAGTAAGAGCATTTTTTGCTAAGAGCAGGGGGCATGAGACAGACTCCATTGAACCTCTATACCTGTGATGACTTCATATATGTCTAAACAAGCTCACGCCTTTCCATTCCCAGAAAGGTTTTGCGGACTGAACTTGAACTGATTCAGTGGGGAGTTTGCCTTTTTGTTTTATTTTTTTTGTTGTTGGCTGTTTGGTGTGATGCTTCGTTCTTCTGTTGTATGGGCGCGCCTTGTGCGTACTAAATAAATAAATAAATAAATTTATTCAAATATAACGCCAGCTTACCACAAATTTTTAGCGTGTACAACTTACTAAAAAGATAAATGCCCTGCATTCTGTACTTCTAGAATAAGTTTTGATCAAAATTTATATCAACTGCTTTTTTAGATCGTCCAATAATGGGTAAAACACGACTTTTTGCTGATGCATAGACTAGTTGCTAATCGACCAACTTCATCGATTTTCGGAGAAGTTTGAGCCGCGGGGCTGGGAGTTGGTACAAGGGGGTAAGTGAGGGCGCTGATTATGAATAAAGATTTACTTTCTCGATTTTGTCGATTTTTGGAAAACCTCGAGCTCGAGGTTGGGAGTTGGTATGGGGGGGGGGGGAGGGGGGTAAATGAGGATGCTGATTGAAATCAAAGTTTTTATCGATTTCAGTTTCTGGAAAATTTTCAGCTAGGAATCAATGTATCCCTAATAATATAGGGGATACAAGGGTGCTGATTATGAATGGATCGGCTTTAGCCAGATATGTCGGCAAGTTTGAGGTATGGTTGCTTTAGTTATTCGATAAGTCATTCGAATATTTATTCGAAATTCGACTTTCAATGTTCGAATATATTCGATATTCATTCATTCGATATTTTTGATTTTCCGAATTTATTCAGAATTCATTCATTCGAGAAATTTTAAACCTCGAATTTATTCGATATTCGTTTATTCGAGATTTTTTATTTTCGAATTGTTTCGATATTCGTTTATTCGAAATTTTTCGTTTTCATTCGATGAAAAATTTTCGAATTACCCAAGTATATTAGAAAGCATGTGCAAATGAAAGCTTTAAACTAACTTGCAAAACTTTTCAGTTCTCTAAAGCAGTACAGACTGCAGATCTGTATTCTCGGACCAAAGCAAGCTTCACAAAGCAAAACAAACAAAAAAAGTTGGTGGATTTCCGAAAACTGAGACATTCTTATTGCGTAAGCGATGCCTTTGATTGGTAAGGTTCAAAAACTAGAATCCAAATCTGGAAGAGGTACACATTTGCTTATTCGACTCAGCAGTAAAAATCTTATTTATCTCTCAATGTTGATGCTGACATATTCTACGCAGCAATAGTAAAATCAGAAGATGATTGTTTTTGCATAAGCTTACAAGTTGTAGCAACTGACAACCGAAGATGACAAGAAGAAATGTCAAGGTTCTCGAACTTAAAAACGTAACTAGCGGAATAAGCGTAAAGCTACTGAAGCGGTTGTAATGCTTAACACATTCAAGAAAAGGTCGATTTCTCGCTTACTGCCAGGGCTCGGCACGAGCTGGCACCAGGGAAATTTCAAAACGAAGTCCCGTTTGATATTGAAAATTTTGTGGGAAGTCCCTTTTGACCTGTTTTGAAAACCCGTCATCATTATTATATTATTGTAAAACCGCAGTAGTGTTTTCGTGCATTTCTGATCTCATGAAAGAACTTTTCACAGCTTTCTGAGCTTTTTAACTGGACGAATCACATCTTGAGAAGCAGAAAAAGCCGATTTTTCGACTGCGGAGCAGACCGAGTGGTTTTCAAATTGCTATAAAACGCTGAAAAGAGAACATTATGAAACGGTTTCTTCTCCGTGTGTAATCTTTTACAGTGTAGATACATTTTATGTAAAAAAGCATGAAAACTTATGTGAGCAAAGTGTCGGTGCCAGCTCAGCTGGCACCCAGCTGGCACGGTGCCAGCTAATTCAGAAAAGAGTTCGGCACAGCTTTCATTTACATAAGTTTTCATAACTTTTTGGACCCTAGTTTCGGTCCACCAACGCGCATGCACACACAAAATTTGGTGTCATACTATTGCGTTTTGGCTGAAAACAACGCCTTTGTTTGTTGATGAACAGCTTGCCAATGGCATGCCGGTGGCATGCCGGCGGCATTTTTGCGGCAGTTCTCCGCCTCGGTCCCTGTAGAAACGATATCCCCTTTGCTTTCCGCCCTAAAAACGATATCTAGCTTGACCCGGTGCCAGCTGTGCTGAGCCCTGCTTACTGCCGTTTCCGACAGGAGCCTTTTCGGCTTTGTCAATCTTGGGAACCACACATGGGTCCTATTGTCTAAAATGGTAGCCTTCTGAAAAAAATTCAAAACATGTCTTCAAGAATTTCCTCAAAGGGATTATCGACGGCGGTGTTTATCAAAATATGATTTATTGCAGTTTTTGACATTACGCGGTATAGTTACGGTAGTCATTCTGTAAGGAACCAGCATTATGGATTTTCATGAGAAATTGTGTTTTGGGATTATTTCAAGTGCTGTATCACGATTATGGTGTCCGCTTCGCCCACTATTGTCCCTCAGGGGACTACGGTAACAGTACGCTTACGTAAAAATAAAGAAACTGATGTAATTAGACGGTCCTAGAACTTGGGACTATTACTTTCGTAATCAGCATGCTAAAACCTATATATGTAATTGAGCTTTCTGTGATGAACAATGAGAGAAAATCAAAATCATTAAAATCGATAATTTTTTGATGGGCTAACATCAGTCTTTTGCCGGTATTTTTCGTGCACGTACGCATAAATTTTCGAAAAGATATCATTTTGCGAAGAATTTGAGCTCTCTATCTACGGTATACCTTCCGTAACATTACATTACATTCCCAAGTCCGGACCACTCTGGCTGGCCCTTCGCTTAGACGTTCCCAATCGTGCGCCAGAATCCCGTAGAATTCCAGCGTAAAGTGGCAAAGCTAGAGCTTCAGAAATCTTAAGACCCACATGTGGGTCGTATCGTCCTAAATGGCAGAACACGTACGACCTAGTCTTAACGATTTGTAAGTGTAAGGTAAAGACTGTTTTATATACACAGCTCAGCAGTATAGGAATGCTCCGAAACACTGGTGGCTTGAAGATATAGTTATTTCACTTGCAAATTACCATGCAGCACGCTCACATGAGCCGTATCACAGTTTGTGAGTGCTTATACAAAAGTCTGTGGAAGCTGAGAATGCTTCAGTGAGTAAAACCATGTCCATTTAGTTTCCAGCCTTCATAGCCGTTTTCTTAAATGTTTCGTGAGAGAAGAAGGTAACCGCAACAGAAAGGAAACGAGAGAGCTTGCCGTTGCTAACAATAGACTGGTATGCGAATGCGTGCAAAACTTATTAGAAAGAGGAGGAAGCTGCATCGAATAGTACCTGAGCTGTTCTCTCTTTGATGTTCCGCGAGGATTTAGCTGTGTATGGAAATTGGTAGTGTTAGTTAAAATTTTGTTTTTAAAGTATGACAAGCTGTGGAAAAGGAGAACAAAACTGTTTTGCGTCATTTGGGGTCTGCTTCATAGATATGTTACTTTTGCATCTTCGGAGGTTTGATATAAAATTTTAAAAAATTGTGGAACTTGACATCTCAAAAAGCAGGGGGTCGCAGATTTTATTTATTTTCTGAAAGCTCCGTGATTGTGCTGCAATATTTTCATAACCTTTAGATGGAAAATGAAATTTATTCGAATGCTGCCAAGATCTCTTGAAAATCTTCATTCCATCAAATGTGGCGCCCCTTTGAAGAAAGCGAAATTACTTTTGGAATAACCTCCCCCTCCCCGTCACAATTATCTCGCCCACTTTTGTGCCAAGTCCTCATCCTTTGTAGACTTTGTCGCTTCTGCTCATCACGGCTGAGCTGCCTCCCTAAGGAACAAATCTTTGCAAAATCGAAAACTTTCTTACTATACTTTGTGTGTGTGTGCGAACCAAAACCGTTCCAAATTTCAAAAAAAAAGGCTGTTCACTACGAGGCAGAGCAGCGATGAGTTAAAATCAAAAACGTGCCAAACATTCTTGGCCGTCAGGTGGCCTGAAGCCACCTAGAGTGCCACCTAAGGCGGCTCAAGGCGAATAAAGTCATAAATTTTGCCTTGCCTCACATAACCTAATTTTTTGCATATTTTATCCCAAATTTAAATTCTACTAGGTCGTTCTGAAAGTAATGTCGCTTTTTTTAAACGTACGCCACATTTCATGGAATAAAGATGTGTAAGACAATCTGGTAGCTTTTAATGCAGCATTTCGTTCCGGAGATCTGTTGCTGGGCGGCCAAGTAATTCCTTTTTTTTACATGATAGTTAAATCAACGATGAAACATTTGTAAAAGTTCACTTTAAGGTGTAAGCTTCCACCTTCTGAAACTTATGAGATATTTTTTTGTTTTTAGAAAACAAAAAAAAACCGTTGGAAGCTGTCGATGATTACCTCTCGCTTGTTTGACAAAGCACAGATAACTTTTTTGAAACAGAAGAAGTTATTGATAGTTTGCAAAGATGTCAAAACAACAAAGATGATCACAATTGGCAAATGAGCTTTATTTTGTAGTTAGTGCAAAGCCGATTTTTTGCATACGAACGATCTTACGGTGAGACTGCACTCAGCGTCCTCCCATTTTCGAAAGAATAGAGCCATGGTCAGGTTTGCATGAGCATCAGAGTTGAGCTGAAACAGAAGTTACACGTAGTCATTAAAATTCATCGAAAACAGACTGATTCATGAAAAGGTGAAGGGGAACACAAGTTCGAAAACAGTATGGTTGGGCTGGAATTGATGCTTCTTTGCTAGCACGTCAAATGCTCGAAGGCAGTGGCCCTCATTTCTTTCCTGCTGCACTCTCAGGAGGCAGTCGCGAAGAAGTGCCGAAACGGCGCCATGCCTCTACAATCACGCGATAGCATAGGCATTTTGCCGCTGATTGAGAAACAGTAAATGGGTAGATTTGCAGAGAATTAGGCAGAGAAAGGTATTCTTCTTTTACTTTTATTCTTGAAGGCGCTGCTGACGTGTAAAAACAAAGTCTTGTTTCCGTATGTGCAATCAGAAAACTTCCTTTCTAGACCGTTTGCACCAAATTGCACACTACACTTTGGAGACAGGTGTCATAGGTTACTTTTCGGTGACATCGGTCTTCGAGCCAAGGGGCTGGGGTTGGGTTCCTTATGCGACAGCCGCAGTGTGAATAATTGAGTGCTTGAAATATACTGTTCGATAGAGCAAAGCACTCTGCGAGTAAACTACCCTATTTTCAGTTGTATCGCATTTTTTCAAATTTTCCCACGAGCTACTCAGCCGCTTCATTGTGTTTCGAGAAGAGATCCTTATGCCGCACGATTCTTTCAGGCAATACGCGGCACGATGTAGGGTCATTTGGTTGCGAGGTCCCTTGATGTGTTTGGGCTGGTCGATATAAGCTAAGACCACCCCGCGGCTTATACACCTGAAAATAGGGTAGCAGATTTTTTCAAACTCGCGATTTGCCTTGTGTTGGAAGCCGAAATCAAAAAGTACTCAATGTTCACCAGCTCTCATCATTCATAGACACTAGTAATGTACATAAATTCTTCCGCCTTTCCATATTTTTCTGGTGTATGAAGGCAGTGAGATAAGATGTCGTCTGATTCCAAAGATGTTCAAGGATGAGCTTTTCATTTAGCGCAGGCGTGGAATAGGGCTTCTGTTAATTTGAGGCTAAGAAAGTTCATAAGGGGACCTAAAGCGGTTCTAGAGGTAAAAAATTGGTGGGAGATTTTGAAGGGAGTTATTTTTTGCCGGAGGAACTTATAAGCAGAGTTTCAGCCCTTTCAGCGCCACCGGCAAGTGAATCACATGTAGCACATGCGCCATGCAATGAATTTTTGAAATATTTAAATACTGTTTATTTTGATCGTACTTTTAAAGGAATGTGGTGCAAATGGGGTATGCAGGATTATAGGACAACAAACGCAGCAGAAGCATTTTACAGGTAAATAGTCATCCCAATTTATGTTGACATTAAATCCCTGATTTCAGCGAATTGCGTGGAATGCTTTCAAAGCGAATTAATCCCCCGTTTGAAGAGCTGTTGGAATGCTTGCACCAACTCATTAGCACTAGGAATGCTGAAACATGTCCAAGAGGTTAGAATTTGTGATTCTCAAACTATTATATCACTAATAATTTGTAAATCAGAATGCACGCGCTTCGAGAGCTCTTCGCAAAAAAGATCAAGAGCGTCGTGACAAGATCAACAACGCAATGCATGAGTTTAAAGAGATGCTTCGTTTGGATAATGATTTAGAAATAGATGTCATTAATAACTATTGCAGGAAGATGTCACAGTTTGTTACAGAGAAGACTATATAGCTGGACTTCAAAAAGAAATGAGTATATAATATATAGAATATATAGATATATATAAAGAAATGAGTATATAATATATAGAATATATAGATATATATAAATCGTATTTTGTCTCCGTGTACAACGATCGATTGAGAGAAATGGTCCTCACGGCCTTCTGTTGTCGCCAGATTCTCAGGGCATGCCTGTGGCTGTTATCACCAAGTCCGAAAAAATTTAGAATTCAAAATAGAAGAATTTCGAGGTTTCATGCAAACCATCAGCTTTTTTGAAAACAGCATGTCAAAAGACCCTAATTGTGAAATTTGCCGAATTTACAAAGAAACTGTGGAGAATAAATAGAATATCAAAAGAAAAAATATTCAAAGTTTTGAGCTAAACACCATTAGTTTTTTTTTAGGAAATGTCCTAATTGGACAGATTTTACTACTGAACTTTGAATTCAAATTTCAAAAAAATTCCGGTTTCATAGGGTGCAGGATGATGACGGAGTTACCGTGAGCAGGATCAGCTCATCGGTGCAGAATGAGTGCAAATTAGCGTTGCTGCCAGTTCATGACCTCTCATGAACTCCGCTAATTAGGCGGCGGCAACCCTATGGTGTATGTAAGTTCCCTCACCCCTCTCACTTGCTTTATAAAATTAGTGCTAAATCATGGTACCATTTTGGTAGTCTCAAATTCCGAATAATTACTGATGTTTGATGCGATCGTGGCTGGCGTAGACCTACCAAAATCCGATGGTTTTGATCAAAATTTTCTTGAAAAATCTTCGCGAGCTATGGAAAAAAAGTTGTGCTGTATCCTATGAGGTTTGCTCTATCAAAAACCGTTACTTGGACTCCTTTGGAGACTTGCTAAAAAAGTTGAGAAATATTGTGAAACTTTACCATCCCAAAAAGCTTTTGTCGCAGATTTCCGTTATTTTCTGAAAGCTCATTGAGCTTTCAGAAAATAACGCTCATCGCTGCAACAGTTTCATAACCTTAAGAGTGAGGATGAAATGTTGTTTCAAATGCTACCAAGATCTTAAAAAATCTCATTCTATCAAATCTGGCGCCCCTTTGAAAAGCGAAATTACTTTTAATACGAAACAATATATGACTCACGAAACAAACAAGCTCAATAGTATACGACTGTCACAAAGGTGATCGTAAAATGGGCACCCGCGCGGGATTGGGGTCCTGAGGGCGGAAATAATTGGATATAAAACCTTGACTTAAAAGAAAAACGAATAGCAACTATTCAAACGAATCGATATAGACTTAAACATATAACAGATACGAGTGATTAATGGCTTCGGCAGTCCATCAGTCAGTCTGTACCTGTCAATGCAACAGAACACTTTCAAAAGCTCAAAGTTTGTTAGACGCTTGTATGTGTGACAAAGATGTTAGAGTTACCGATTGATTTGGTTCCGCTTCCGAAGCCTCACTGAAGGTTTAACGCTAGACAGAAGCGCATATCTCTACCATCATAAACATGAATGATTTGTACAGTGTTTTCTATATGGCTCATGCAGGCCAGCTGCACTTTTCAGAAGCCCTACTATATCTGCACAAAACTTGGTCGCATCTAATTCTCAAAGCTGTGGAAATCTGATCGTAAAATTTTTAGGTCTTTTCATTGTGTCATTAGTGAGTTACAAAATTTCAAGCTTAAAAACAGCTTTTTGTTTAGGATCGCATCTAAAAATTGCTAGATTTGCATCTAAATCTTTTCGAGCTCATCACCATTGAATCCCTGTGGCTTTTTTTCTCAACTGTCTGAATTACTACACACCTGTTCCTTACAGCGGCTCACAATCAGCTCGTCCCTGACATTAGTCACAAATCCGTAAAATATCGTGATCAATTTTCGGCATCATTCGCGCTAAAATGCTTTTGCTTCGAGGGAAATCTGTACCGAAAATAGGAAATAAGTTGTTTAGTCGCAAACATTCTTTACGCTTCAAAATTCTTTTTCTGCAAAAAAGGTGTCGCAGACGGGAATCGAAATTGAAAACTATCATTATAGTTTGAAACGTTCTATTTTCAGGATTAAGACAAATGTCAGTACATTTTCTAGACCATGAATCAATTATGCCAAGCACTCCTGATCCGCAAGAATAATTTTCTTCCATTGGAAAATATTACGTCGTTCCGAATGTAATGTCGCTTTTTTCAAACGTATGCCACATCTCGTGGAACAAAGATGTGTAAGAGATTCTGGTAGCATTTTATGCACCATTTCATTCTCTTTCTAACGGTTATGAAGTTGTTGCAATACATTCAATGAGCTTCCAGAAAAGAGTCAAAATCTGCGACCTATGCTTTTTGAGATGGCCACGTTTCACAATTTTTCTTAAATTTTATAACAAACCTCAGAAGGAGTCCAAGTAATGGATAGATGGAGCAAGCCCTACAGGAAACAGCACAGCTTTTTTCTACTTTCCAGAGCCCGTCATAATTTTTGTATAGATTTTTTGATGGAACCACCGAATATTAGCATTTTCGCCTTAGCCACAAATGCATCAAACACCAATAAATCTTCGATTTTGAAACTTACAAAGATGGATTATGGTTTGGCAACAATTTTACAAACCAAACGAGCATTCACCGCTTTGGTTTAGCAACTTTCGAAAATTTCGGGTACACGTTGGGGTGCCTTAGAAAAGTTGAATTATGATGATTTATCCCGGAAAACTTAATGAATCGGAAACAAAAAAGGACCGCTAGAAAGAGAAGAAAAAAGCTGCATCGAATGACACCCGAGTCGCTTGCCGGTTGTTGTTCTGTGAGGTTTTACTTGACTAAATATGAAATTTGATGGCATTGAGAAATTGAATGTAGAAACTCTGAGAAGCACACCAAGGAAAAGAAAAAATTACTCTGCGTTCCAGGGTGGCGGTCAAGAATAACGATAGCTCTGCCAGCCGCTAGCTGCCAGCTGCTCGCGCGCGCAGAACAGCCCGCCTTCACTTATTCATGAAGTTGAGGAAAACTGTTTAGATTTCTCTTCATTGAAGTTCGTCTCCTACAACGCCCAAAGAAGCTTACATATTTCACATGCTAACTTGAGCCCAAAACATTACTATCGCGTGTTTATGGCGATGTGATTTCTGATTATTTTCATCTCAAAAAAAGCAGAAGCCTTAACATAAAGCATATTTAAAGAAGAAAAAAGCTTTAGACATTTACTGCTCCAAAATGTAGGGTTTGCGTGAGCTCGTTCGTTGCTGGGGCGGTGCTACCTGTGCACCGTTTATTGACACCCGGGCACTCAGGGTGCCACTATTTCCAGCTATCGTTATTCTTGACATATACCCTGTGTTCTATAGTGTTTGCTCTATCTACCTGCTACTTGTACTTTTTTGGAGACTAGATGCAAAAATTTAGAAAAATAGTCGAACTTGACCATGGCAAAAAGCATGAGTTACAGATTCTGGTAATTTTTCGAGAGCTCACTAAACATTATGCAGTGAAATTAGAACCATTAGAAAGACGATGAAATGCTGCATCGAATGCTCCTAAGAACTCTTGAAAAAGTTGATTCCACGAATAGTGGCGTTCATTCGAAGAAAGCGACATTATTTTCGGAACGACCTAATATATTACGTAAACCTGTTATAACCGCTGGAATGAATTGCTTTCTATTTCTGAATTCTTTTAGTTTTTATTCTATCTCATTTCTTGTGTATAAGTTGTTTCAGGTTTGGGCAGGCCAGTTTGAATATCGGTATCAGACTGAAACTAATGTCCTCCTTCGTCAAGACTATCCATTACTTCGCAACTACAGTACAGCCAGGTCTTTGTACAATTTTCCTGCTCATTCAATCTACGCCGATCTATCCCGGAGATTTTTAGCAAGTATTACTTGCTTAGCTCCCAACTCGTGAACAGAATTCTCCTTTTCTAACTTACATTTTCTAATTCAAACCATAGGCATCTTTCAAGATAAATTAACATCCATTTACGCAAGCTAATTTTAGAGCGTGGAAATGGAGGGAAGGAGAAAAGGGAGTACAGATAGGTACCATCAAGGGGGGGGGGGGTTAGGAGAGGGAAAGGGGTTGTAAGAAAGGGTTCCGGATGGCATTAAAACGTTGGACCCTGGTGATAACAACAACTAGATAAGTTTTATCTGGAAAGCGAGGGCGAAAGTTTGTAGGATTGATGGGCTTAGAGTTGATCAGCCTTCTGAATTTTTACATAAGCAGTCTCGTATAAAAACTCAATTTTAGCGTAATTCTCGATGACTTAGCAAGCTGATGCTCCATCTGACTTTTGAAAGCGATCCTTTGCTGTTTTTTTAAAACGATAGCCAGCCTGCCCCGTATGCGGCTTTGCAAAGCACTGTGCTTTGTAGGTTTACTTTGCGCTTGTTAGTAAGCCAACGCAATTTTTACATCCACAGTGCTGCTGAAGCGGAAGAAATCCTCATTACTCTTTCGACCCAGGGCCGGCAGGAGGTGGCATTTCAGAATTTTGAAAACGATATCCCCCTTGAAGCCAAAATTTCTTACGACTTCCCCTTTGATCCTATTTTTGACCCCCGCAAGTCCCTGTCAAACAGATATACACAAATAATAAGTTGGGCGGCCTCAGCGCTTATTATAGTAGTACTACCTGGCTTTCCTGGTTCAGCCCGGGTCATCGTTTGAGGGGATGGCCAAAAACCACACTTTCCTTCTACCTTCCCGTCCTTTTGGGCCATATTCTCCACCCCTTTTCTGTAGGATCAATACTGCACTGCAGCTCTCCCATTTAGGCCCGGGCAGACTTCACGCGATTTGATCGTCGCGACTGAATCGCGACGAGACAACTGTTACAACATCATTCCATGCCGATCAACTTGCATTCGGTTGTGATACTTTTCCAGCCCGAAATTTCTGAATGTGAAATGAAAATGAATGACAATCTTGGCGATTAGATCGCGACGATTAAGACGTGTGAAGTCTGTCCGGGGCCTTACCCTCCTGCACGAGCTTACCCCAGAAAGGCTTATTGGAGTGACTGCACTCTAATTTTAAATTGGAAATGAACTTCACTGCATTGTTCTCACCAAAATGTGCAAGCAGTTTGTTAGCGGCTGGTAGTGTTCACTTTCCTTGCAAGGTGCCAAAAATCATTGAATCGATAGAAGGATATTACAAATTGCTTCGAAAGGTAGCTTAAAACCATCTACCGAGGCCGAAAACATATGTTTTCAAGGTTACAGCTCAATGGGTTTATCCGCAAAGGAATCTAAAAAAAAACATAGGGTCAAGAACGTTTATATATCTAAGATACTACTCATTTATTAGTCAGCTGCGAAACTTTACAATTTACAATAACCGATTGCGATTGGAGCGCGCTTTCCGAGGCCGATCATAACGCTTTAAACCCTATTTGGGGCTGTATCGAAGCGGTGCCTTGGTGGTTTTGGAAACGGATTTGAACATATAGTAATACTCTCGACCTAGTCCACATTTATGTAAAGAAATCCGGGAAATTATGTGAAGGGAAGCAGGGAGCCACCCCAGGTTGCTCCCAGGTGGCGCGGGAGCCACCTAATTACCATTTCTTAAATTTACATAAGTTTCTCATAATTATTCATACTTTTTTGTGCTCATGGTCCTCAAACTATACAGCAAATTTGGTGCCATATCGTTACGTGTGCATTGAAAACGAGCCTATTTTGCTATTTTCCTCTTACAAGAATTGCGATTTGAATTCCCGCCTGCGGGCAGGCTAGCGATCGGAGCACAGAATCTTCACATTGCTGGAATCTAAGTTCATAGGACAGTAGCATCAACAAGGAATGACGAATAAAGAAACTTTCCCTTTGGTTTTTCGGGCCAAAAACGATATCCAGCTTATGAAAACGCCACCCCCGCCGGGCCCTGTTTCGACCTATTACCATTTTGCTGAACTTCATTCTCTATCTGATCTACGCTTTCGGAGTGAATCTTTATGAAATGCGCCTAGATAAGCAACATTGTTTCCATCTCATCGTTTTCATCCTATAACCTCAGCTAATTTTTAGACTTCTTCTCCAAACTCTTGTAGGATTCAATGACCAGTAAGTAGAGCAAACATTTTGCAGTAAAGCCTTTTCTGCATCTTTTAGCTGACCTTTTAGAATGTCTCAAAATCGTTTCCTGGAGTGGCCATATCATGTTTAATCTATCCAGAAATTGTACTACAAGTATCATTCGAACACGTTTCTCTCCTCTTTCTTATAATTACTTCTTCACTGCTATGCATGCAGCAAATACTTTTCATCGCGATGCATGTAAGTTTTGCAGATAATTTACTTTTGCAAATTCATTTGCACATAATTGGTACCAGGAATCACACACAATTTGATTCAATACCAATCATGTTTTTCTGACTTTTGAGTTTCCCAAGTATTCAATAAATTTAAAGTTGAGCAATTTTCAAAAACTCCTTGAAAAATGTGTTGAGTGTTTTGAAGGCGTTGTAAAGAATAAAAAAATGTTTGCTTTATTTCTCGGTTAACGAAGCTCCTTTTGAAGATTTAAGGGAAAATGCTGAAAATTGGAATTGCAGCTAAACCAGGTAAGAACGAGTTAAGAAATCTTCGATTTCTGGACGCTTCCAAAAAGAGTCACTTCAGGCGCATAGCATTAGAAAAAGAAAAATTCTTGGAAAACTTGGACAAGCAGGCGTTAACCAAATAAACAACTTTGTTTCGAGTTCAGTCTTGGATGTACTTCAGTCAGCATGTAAACACCAAATACAGACGGAATTTGGATGCGTATCTCACAAAACTTGGGGTAGTGCGGGCTTTCACATATTTCGTTAGAGGACCCCTCAGGCGACCGAACCGAGTTCGTCTCGATCCGCGCCCTTCTACGCCGAGAAATTTGTCCTCAAAGTGGCCCGCAAAGCGCGATTTGACCCGCACCGCCAAGCTTCCGGATTCCATCTTACGCGTTTTAACATGTCTCTCCACTTGGCGTCCATTTCCGTGGTGTTGGCTACCTGGCAAAGGCTAGGTTGAGGCACAACTCGTCCGCGTTACTTCCACGGGGCTTTCAAAAAGCCGGGTTTTAGTGCATTTTATGCGATTTTGGACCCACATTGAGTTAAATAAGGACGAAAAGGCTTGCAATATGCAAGAATCTCGACGATCAAATTTTGCTGAGACACTGCCTTCAAGGTGCGCAATTAATTTGTGTGCATGTGTTCAGTAGCAAAAGTCCTTTTTTTGTTTCAAATGTCATACCACGGTGCAGCGTTCTACTCCTCTAAAATCATCCGGTTGTTTTGGTGCCCAAGCCAGAAAGTCCACCTCCGTGCCATCAGTCCAGGTCCAGTTACTGTTTGGAATATCAGGCCGTGTCAGACCTATCCAAGTTGCAAGTTCACAACATTTTTCAGGTGCTATACCCGATTTTGCCAGTTCTAAATCATAAAGTTTAGCACACCTTTACATCAGGTTTTCCCATATGTTCAGTCTGTTTTGACTTTCAACCGCAATAAGTCATATACTTCCTATTGTAAATAGGCTTCAAAGTAATATTTGATAGAGTAAGGCGAGCATCTACAAGTTTTCGCTGTTGCATCAGCTTGAATCCACAGTTTGATGTCAGCATTGAAATCGAGAAGATACCGTGACTCTCCAAAATCCTAGCAAAATACTAACTTGCTTAAGCATATACTTTCCACATCTAATACATACATATATATCACTCTGTATTTTTTCTTTGGCTAAAATCCAAGAAAACAAAAATTTTTATGCTTTGCAGAAATGACGCTGTGCTTCTGTATTTTTTCTTTGGCTAAAATCCAAGAAAACAAAAATTTTTATGCTTTGCAGAAGTGACGCTGTGCTTCTCATTAAGTAGTTGTATACCACAAGGCTTTAGAAGTCGTAAACTTTCTAGCCCTAAAAACTTTAGTTTTTGAAAAATATGGATTACATGAGAGGCCTGATTGAGTGTTGCTTTATTTGATACTAGCTGACTTACCCGACTCCGCCCGGCCATTTCAAAACACTATGATAAAGGTCTCCTCTATCCCTGTACAGCCTTCCCCTATGTCCCTCTACATTCCAAATCCCCATTCCCGCTGTAATAGTTACTTAGTTCTCAATATACTGACTTACCCCCCCCCCTGTGCCAATTCCCAGCCCCGTAGCTCGCTTCCAAAAAATCAACAAAATCGATGAAAAATCCAATTGTGTACGTATGTTTTAAATAAAATTCCATTTCTCAACCGCTCCGGACCAAACGTGGCACACATACACTTCGGGGCGGGGCGGGTGTCGTAGGCTACTTCTCGATATCGATCGATATCTTTTATCGATATCGATTTTTGTAAAATTTGACCTGCGGAGTTGTAAGTTGGCACGGGGGGGGGTAATCGAGCATGCTGATTATGAATACGATATTAGTTTTTAGAATAATCCATTACTTTTATCGATTTTATTGAATTTTTTTGCAAAGTTTGATCTGCGGGGCTGGGAGTTGGCACAGGGGGTAATCGAGCATGCTGATAACGCAGCGGGAATGGGGAATTGGCATGTGGAAGTGGGTATAGAGAAGGTTGTACAAAAATAGGGATGGATATGATATATAAACATCGTGTGAAAAGTGTATGCTGGAACAAGTTAGGATCATAGGTGCGATAGTTGGAGCCGATTCTCCGCCTACCTTCACTTTTGAGCTAGTTCAGGGTGACCACCTTCACTTTTGGGTTTAAAAATTTTTTTTGCTAAAGCTCAAAAGAAAAAAGATAAGCAAAGGGAATGTAAAAGAAAGTATTAAGAGCATATATCTATGTAGTAGGTCGATCCAGGCAGTAACCGCCGAGAACCAGAATTTCGAATGATAAAATAATGAAAAATCGTGAAAAATCATTCCACTGTTGCAAATCTGCTGGCTGAAGACATCCGCAGTTGCGACTTCATTGGTTTTGAAGGGTAAGTGTTGCTCTACCAGACAGTTAAGGAATCAGTTTGATTTGAGGAGTGGCCGCCGAGAACGAGAATTTCCGAGAATTTCGAAAAACCTTAAAAATCTTCTCAATTTTAGGTCGCTTAATGACAACTGACATTTAAACTCTTATAAATCCGGACTTTGAAGGTGTAATGTTGCGATTTCATAGGTTTTGTAGGGTGAGGCTTGCCCTATCAGAATATGTCTTAGCTGTACCGATCCATTAAAACATCGCCGAGATACAAGCTCTCAAAAAAAGCAGGTAAAAAACCGTTTTTCAGCTCATAACTTCTTCAGAACTGCATGAATCATGTTGCGACTTCATAGGTTAGATTCTCCTCTTCAAGAGCTTTCAGATGATGTATAATATGTGGGGGATTCAATGTTCCTTGCGGCTCTAACCCGGGGTGGAGTACTCCTCTTCACTAATTCTCCACCCCGCCCATTTCCATGTATTGGCGGGAGGCCGCCAGTGGAGAATTAGTGAAGAGAGGTACTCCACCCCCGGGGATATGCCGTGGGAGGCGTAAATCCCCACATATTATATATCATTTGAAAGCTCTTAATGAGAAGAATCCAATCTATGAAGTCGCAACATGATTCATGCAGTTCTGAAGAAGTTATGAGCTGAAAAACGGTTTTTTACCTGCTTTTTTGAGAGCCTGTATCTCGGCGATGTTTTAATGTATCGGTACAGCTAAGACATATTCTTCTGATAGGGCAAGCCTCACCCTACAAAACCCATGAAATCGCAACATCACACCTTCAAAGTTTGGATTTATAAGAGTTTAAATGTCAGTTGTCATTAAGCAACTTAAAATTAAGAAGATTTTTAAGGTTTTTCAAAATTCTCGTTCTCGGCGGCCACTCCTCAAATCAAACTGATTCCTTAACCATCTGGTAGAGCAACACTTACCCTTCAAAACCTATGAAGTCGCGACTGCGGATGTCTTCAGCCAGCAGATTTGTAACAGTGGAATGATTTTTCACGATTTTTCATTATTTTATCATTCTAAATTCTGGTTCTCGGCCGTCACTGCCTGGATCGATCTACTTTCTTCGCTGTACATTATAACAAAATCTAATTAATAATATACGTACAGTTCAGCTGGGTTTTACTTCCAAATACACTGTTTGATATATGACGCTGTATACAAAAAATATGCTTTCAATGATCCCTTTTGCATTTGTTTTGCTTATTTTCCGCGCACTGGCGGCAACGACCTGGAAGGATAGACGTTAATGCTTTGCTCCCCCCCCCCCGGTCGACGTTTTTGGGGTGAGTGTCCGGCACTACCACCTTCACTTTTGGCCGGCCAGTGGTAGCTGGGACCACCTTCACTTTTGGTGGGCCCGGCTCCCCCCATCGCACTCTGGTTAGGATCCTTCTAGGAATTTCTTGGAGGTAATTACGATTTCTTCTCTATTTTTCGGGCGCTTGAATTTTTTTTGTTTCTGACGGCAAATTTGAGGTGGGGTTTGAGCTGGTGCAATAGCAAGAACGCCATCTTGTAGAGCTTGCTTCAATCTATCGAAAGGTAATTTGAAACCTATTCATGATCGTGAAGTGTATGACCTATTGCGGTTGATAGTCACGGATGTAACTTATCGGCCAACTTGATAAAAGTGATGAACTTACCGCCAACAAAAGAGTTTTCTGTTGAGGTGTGGATTGAAGTTAGATGTCCACCAACGGTTCTACATAATCTTTCGGCATCGTCAAAATTCAACCCAAAGAAATTCTGTAAAGTTCATCGAGAAATAGCGTCTCAAAATCGTTAAGTTATTTTCATGATTGTACTCCCATTAGACGGACTTTACTTCACACATTCGCGTCCTAGAAAATGTATGAGGCTTTAGGCATTTCAAAAGAATTTGACATTTGGACAAAAGCCCTCTACTGCTGTCGTAGAAGTTAATGCGGTTTTTTGTATTGAGAGTACTCTCTAGTGTCTAAAAAGCTAGGAATCATTTTTGAATTTTGTAAAGTGTGAAAGAAAATCCCTTCCGCTAAGAGATGAAAGAATTAGCGCTACTTTTGGTAGGGAACCTTTACAATGCCCAAGGGTCAAGCGTTGCAAAGAAGCTAAAAGTGTTTAATGAGGGGTATTGCGTCAATTTTGGCGTTGAAAGAGAAGAGAAAACTTCTTACTTTGAGGCAAACTTTCTTCTTCACTTCCAGAGTGAAGAGCAAAGTTTGCCTCAACGTAAGAAGTTTCATAGATAGAAAGGCGTTAAGATGAGGACCGTCCAAGGAGCTCCATTTCAATTTTAGACGAAACCCTATTAAGACGAAACAAGAAAGGGAAACGCGAAAAACTATAATGGTTGCACCGCAATACCCGCACTCTTTACTATAGAAATTCAGAACGTGAGGAGCGCTACGTCATTTCGGCGTGTAGGTTTTAAAGCATTGAAAGGAAATGAATTCATATAGGTGTAGCTTTCGAGCTACTACCAAGATTGGTAGCACTTCTGTATTGGTTGTGTTCGTATCGAAGAACACCTAAATAGGCTAAATAAGTCTAAGCCCTCTACACCCAGGGACAACATCGCAGAACACGTCATGAGAACGCCCTACTTTAGACTGGGGTGAGGACCTTGTTGTTTGAGCTCGTCCTACCACGCAAAATGTTGAAAGCGTTTTGTATCGCCGCTAAAACTTCACATTGCACAGAAAAAACGTGCAGCGCGATCACTACCAAAGCCGCCCCTTTTCCAATCCCTCTTTGCTTTTGCATGAGGTCAGGTCACGTTGGGGTATAAAAGTGCTAATATTACGTCTTTGCAATCGAAAAAAAAACTTCTATCGCCATCCCTGAATGACCGTCATTGATACATGTTAGTAACGGCCCGAAAACTTTCATTCGGAGGGAAGGCGCAAAAATTTTTTTTCAAGGAAAGTGCATGGCACTAAGCTCGCATTCTGGAGATTTTTTTAGTGTCACACAAAATTTTTGTAATTCAGTACGCAAAAACATTAGCTCAAATATCTTTTAATAACCCATGTAGGTTACTTTCAAAAATCTTGACCCATTCTCGGGTGGTGGAGCCCTTGTCGTGTCCCCTCCCCTCTAAAGCTGAAAGTTTCTGCCGCGCATAATAAAGCGAATTCGGTGCTTCTCTTTAACAAGCCTGAGTGAAGAGATTTGCACCGCGGTGTTTTGGAAGGCTTTTCATACAAGGAGCCGTTAGATTTCAAACGTTTGATACATTTTTCATAGACAAAGGCACAAATTACCTTATAACAGGAATCTGTCTCATCATAATAAGCCCATCCGACATCGCAGTGTGCAGGATGTGCTGAAAAGAGATTTCAATATTACAAAACGGTACTCATGATTCGTTTGATTAGAGGCAGCGGCACAATTGTGTGTTGATTGAATAAACTAGCGAAGGTTGATTTACAGAAAGATTATTGCACATTCGATTGTTTGACGCTTTGATTCTATCCATTTTCTTTGATTTCTCGCTGTAGCACCAAAACAGTGTGATCTTTATTTATTCTTCACTGACGTTTTGGCGTCTTCGCCTTCGTCGAGAGTGGGAATTAAAAATTATTTGGCAACTACCTCCTCAAGCGTCGCGTCTGACCACAACAGTCATTTCAAGAAATCGGAGAAGATCAGAAGCGGTATGAAAGGGCAAAGCAACGCTTCCGTGACATAGCGGTTTTTTGAACCAAGGCCACCGTATGAGAGGAAGTGAGTAGCCACTGCAAATACTGCGCATGTTTGAGGAGCGAGGGCCCGCCAACTTTTGCGGTTATCAAAAATGCTTCAAGAGCTTGCAAGCTACATTTTTGGGTTCGTACGACAATCTCGTGAATTTGATATCAAACGTAGCATAGTCATGGCACTTTTGGCGGTGTGTTATCAGAGGCGTTGCAGATTTTGACTTCCAGGGAACTGTCCTCTGATCTAAATTGCAAAAGCTCGTTCGTTTTACCAACATATCGCGGCAGAGAGACATGTAATTAGGTAGATGACACCAGTTGTTGCGGTGCAGACGCCGTACAGTTGATTACGGGCAAAGGCAAGGTATGCACGGTTTTGCTTAGCCGCCGCTTGAACTTGGACGAAAGGATTTTCACACCCCTTACGTAGCCCTGCAAATCAGCTTGACGCAAAGTTGTTCTCACCCCTTTCCGCAACTCTTTCAGCGCACGGCAAACAAGACAGGGTTATATTTTTGGGCATCACCGCTCTCTAACTCACTCGAGCTCGAGATTGGACGTATTCTCCATGGAGTCGTTGTTTCGGCCACTTTTGCGCTAATTTTGTTCATACAAGAAGTATATCTGTACTGGCTTCATCTTACTTGCGGTTTAACATTGGCAAATACTTTTCCGATGGAAGTTGGAAGTACAAAATGACAGTCAATTGTGAATTGTTCTATTCCGTGTGTGCTCATAAAGACCTTAAAGGGACAAAACTTTTTTTGAACTCTACAGACCCCTTACACATGTCCAGAGTCAAGCCCATTTTCAGCACTGTGAAGGTTCTACGAGTATTACATAGATTTAAACAAATTATGTCGCACATCTTGCCAAGAACCACATATTTTCAGAAAAGTTACGATACGCTAATTTCGGTCATAGGTTATGGAATCCTTCAAAGTGACGTCGTTTTACACAAACATCTTAAATGGAGCAACCATGTGAGCAGATGTTGAGCTTTTGTGAGCATCAGGGGACTATAAAACTCTACGGTCTACGACGGTACACGTGAAGATGCGTCTTTAGAATACCTAAGACTTTGACATTCCCCCTAGGGCTGGCAGTGCCACAAACAAATAAGGGGATTAGCTCTAAGCCAGAGGCTATCCCCCGCACTATCCATTGCTTTCATGTCCAAGTTCAAAAGCCTGGTCTTGATTTACATTCTCTTTTGTATATTTTCCGACAAGGATGTTTTGCAGCTGGTATATCGCAACTGGTGTTCGTACTCAGACACGGAGGGAGGACGAGTCATCGCTCTTTTCCGGCTGAGATTTCGCAGCTCCCACGCCCCGGCCGGAGAGTGGGTCTCGACTCAGCCGGCGATGAGCCTCGGCTCGGGGAGGTGCCACGGCTCAGCGCAGCTGGTTGTCGGGCCTTCCGTAGTTCATTCTAGCTAGGTCTAATTGGGCCTTGCCCATTTATAGAACCCCCTTTGTACAAGTCATATAAGATTTGATGGTCTAAGCCGGACACAGATACACGGTGGAACTGTCTGGCACATAGGAAAATAGACAGTAAAAAACAAAAGTTGAGGACACCGATACAGCAGCTTCGAAGATCAAGTCCGATTTCAGGATTGGATAGCTCCGAGATGCTTCCAGGGTTGTTTGGAAAACAACCTAGATCTTGTTTCTGCCTGGGAGATGTTTCTGCTTGAAAACACATCTAAGGCTATCGATGTTCAAGGCAGCCGGACCATGCGTCATACATCACGCAAGTATCCTTTACGATCAAGCACTAGCAGCAGCCGAGCCGCGGCCTTCTTCGATATAGGCCGCGGTTCGGCCGGAGTTTCTTACAGCTTTTGGTCCGCGACTCAGCCGCTGCAATGTTCCGCCCCATCATCCGCGGCTGAGCCGTGAAGCCCATTTCCTCCCGCGGCTGGCCGGTGCAATGATAATGACATGAACGAAGGGCCGCGGGTCGGCCGCACCCCGGTTACGCCCTCAAATTAAGGCCGCGGGCGAGCCGGAAAGGCTTTTTAGGGCTGCAGCTAGTCCGATCCCAGTTTCTGAGTACCCTGCTTCAGCTCCTCATATCTCGAGCAAACTTGTTTTTGAGGTGCCTCAAAAGTTATTTTTACGATACAATGGGGGTTGCCAATTTTTTTTTGTAAACCCATAACCAAGATTCCAGATCCTATATTCGTCTTCTAGTGGCATCCCGATTTACCTGTTAAGCTCGCTCACAACAACTTTTTTAGAAGGAATTCTGCAAAAGGATCTTTCCACGTCTTCAGAGAAAGCAACTGGTTTCACCAACAGGCAATGATACAGATTGACTTGACCTGTGCAGATCTGGTATGATCAGTCAAGATAATGGTAGTCAAGCTAGTCGACAATTCAAATGACAGGGTGAAAGACAAACGAACACCTTTGACATTCTGTAATAGAGCTTTCTTACCAAAAATGATGAGGGTCTATTACTTGTTCGGAGCAATAGCGCTGCTGAACTTCGCTTTCAAAACTTTCTTTGAATCCCTGAATTTAGCGTCTGAATCGGGACTGGGTAATGCGTTGGAGTATGTGATGATATTATGAGGCGGTGATTGCCAATCTTGCTGTTCGGGAACTGTTTTCCCATTATAAACAAGTGCCCGGACACGCTCCATTCTCTATTTAATAAAGTTTGGATCGCATGGCCTAAACTGGAACAGACGCCGATCTGTCGCTCGGGCTCGCCCTGCCTCATATGGTTAAACTTTCCCGATCGTGCACTCATACCTCGCTGTGCCCTGTGATAGCCGAACAATGTGGTGATGGAAATTTGCAAGCGTTAGTACTTCAGTCACAACCTTCCCAATTTCTAGAGCTTGGCGTGCATTGTTGTCTAATCCATTGTGGAATCCGGCAAAATGAGGCCCTTTTATTATATTCTGGCACGAATAAGTTGTAAGTGCAGAGTCTACATAACAGTCAAAAATTTCCATTACATACTTTGCAAAGATGCTTACAGTTAGATTTTCATAGTTAAGAGTCTATGTGTGAGTTACAAGCATACCTTCGATAGTCTAGAGACAGGGCGTCAAAAGTGAAGGTTGTTTGAACATCTGACGTCATAAATAGTGAAGGTTGTTTAAAGATGATCAGAGAAGAGAAAATGACACAAAACAGATACAAAAAGCAAAAGAAACTGCTGAAAATAGGATAAAAACGCTGCAATGAGGCTTGAAATCTTTCATTTGGCGGCTTTTCAAAGTGCAAGTTTTCGCTTCAGGACCAGCAATTCGCAACACGGGGTTTTGATTTTTAATGCGTCCTTTGAATTTTTACCCCGCATTGACGTTCCTGTTTCCTGGGACGTTGTCTGGATTGTTGCGCTTATTGTTCTGAGCAACAATCGCCCAAGCTGGAAAAAAATCGATGCGAAGGCATTGAAACAGAACAAGGTAAAGAAAAACGCACTTTTTACGATTTTTCGCAAAAAAATCCACAATAATCGAAGAGGTAAAGGCTGGGTGGTTGTCTGCATTATGAACAGAAGCAAGATCTATAGAATGCACGAAAAAACCGGGTAAAAAGAGGTAAACTAGAAAAAAAAACAAGAGATTTTCGAAAACAAGGTTTTTACCGGATTTCTCGTCCAAATCAAGGAATGTGATTTTGGGACGTTGTCAGCGTAAAAATATAGATCAAGAGCTTCAAAATGATATATAGTTTGCTAAAATTGGGTGCGAAACAGCGAAGAAAAGGGTACCAGAGCCAAATGCCCCGCGCCCCGCGTTTGGGGTAGCGAGGTAGCGCGCAGCGCGCGGAGACGCAGACGAGCAGCGGAGACAGACCAGAGCCGACGGGGCATTTGGCTCTGGTCGTAGATCTCCGCGGGGTCTCAACGAAACCCTGCAACATTATATATCATTCTGACCGTCATGACACGACGAGGAGAGCTGACAACGTCCCAAGCTTTAAAAGTCACTTACTAACGAGATAGACCAGCATTTTCGTGCGCGACTCTCTGTGCACAATTAAGCGCAGTTTCTCATTTTAATTCAACTCCAACAGCTTTCCAAACTTTTGAAACTCATTTTTGGTCAAGTGGAAGGCTAAATGAGGAACGTTGTCCTGAATTCTGAGGAAATTTTCACAGAAATTCTCTTTTCAGCGTAAAAAAGGCATTAAAAAAGCAATTTCTCGGTTTCGTTGAGACATTCTTCAAACATTCCTTCCTATATTTGGTTCATTCACATTCTTCCGAAGTCAGGATCATAACATCCGGGCTTCGCCCCGGATAACTTCTGTTTTCCCAGGTGAAGGTTGTGTCCCCTCATAGCCCTCAAAGTGAAGGTTACCAGAGTATGTGGCTCTATGTATCGAGGGTATGGTTACAAGACATCGCTTACTTCTCACTTGTGCAGTTAGAATAGGGCTGTTCTGCTGTCAAAAAAAAAGTGTACTTTTGCATAATCAGTATGTTTGAAGGGTTCAATTTCTTATGCAAAACTTGAATACTCACCATGCTATAGTCTCTTTCAATACAACGATATGTAGTCAGACATCAAGGATGAATTGACCGTTATCGGTGCTTTCCAAAAAATGAGTAACGACTTCTTTAACTTCACCATCGTTGACGAGGTCAATAGAATGCATGTAAGCACGCCAGCATGATGTGCTCGAAAAAAGGAAGCAGAAAAGAAGCAGCGAAAAGGAAAAACTTGTTCTGCACTTGCGATCCATAAGGCTTACATTAGTGGCCGTATCCATTAAAGAAATATATATAGCAGTGGCGTACCCAGGATTTTCCTTGGGGGGGGGGGACAAAAAATTTTTCCTAATGAAGGTGCGTGGCGTTAGCCACACACGCAGAAAAAATTTTTGGTACGCTTCTCAAAATTTTCGCTGCTTCCTTTGCTTCCTGGCCCATAATCCCAAAATTTTAGGAAAAAGGGGCGTGGCTGACGCAACTTGAACTTTTAAAACTGCTTAAAAATAGTTTTAATTATTCACAAGTATAAACTAGTCACCTGCACATTTTTATAACCCATATAAGTAACTTTCAAAAATTCCGCGACTCATTCTCGGGGGGGAGGGGACCCCCCTCTCGGTACGCCACTGATATATATATATCTATACATATATATGAATAAATATCTTTTGAAGCTCCAAAGCACAATCTTGGACTTAGCTCGTTCCGGGGAAGAGAGCGATGAATATCCCGAAGTTGTTATTCTGCCGATCCATTGCCTACAAGTGCAAGAATATGGCTCTGATGAGAACTTCATGCTCTCGCTTGGAAGTGAGCCTATCTTGGTGTTTTAAATTTTAAGCAAAGGTTCGTGAAAAAGTCGCAAGCGAACTTGACCTCATTACGCTGACAAGAGTATTTGAAAATGCTCATGATAAGTTCTTTCTAGCTGCCATGAACTTGACATTCTTACCATTTCGGTGCTCGAGTTTTGTTGTGAGTTTTGCTTCCAACAGTGCAAAAAAAGAACGTTTTGCTAACCTGCCTTGGAACTCTCGAGTCGAGAAAATTCAGCAGGATCCGCACTTCTGTAAATACAACAATTTTAATGAGTTTTTTTTTTCAAATCTATAACAACCTGAAGATCAGCTGATTGCTGCTTGGATACAGGAACGCTTCTGCCAATGAAATAAACGCAACAAGCAGAATTCTCATCGCGCACGTCCTGGATACCCTCTTTTTTATTAATAAGTAGTGTTTCGAAAAATTATGATTAACCGAAACCGATGCTCATTCATACAAGCAGATTGAGATGGCAGTGGGATGACTAAGACATTCTTATCGGCAAACGACAGCCAGTGTTGTAAACGTCTTCATGCTTGCCTGTCATCCTGACAACACTTTGTTCTTGCTCTTGAGGCACTTTTGATTAAACAAACGTGCAAAAAGGTTTTATTGTTCTAGTTAAGAAGGCAGCATTTTCAAAAAGGTGCCTTTCGGCGTGATTACTTTTTAGATTGAGGTAAATTCGAGATAAGTTGCTTACGCGAAGCGAGAGGAGTGTAAAATCTTTACCTGACGTATTTGAAAATGAACTCGTTAGTTCACCTTAATGAGAGAATAAATTATATGTTTCCTAACACTCAGTGTTTATATTTCCCCAAAGCGCTGGTATCGCCAAGCATTCGTAAATTTGATGACGCTTCATTCACTGCAGCACAGAGATTTTTGTCATTTTCAAATGTTTCGAAGATGCTGTTTGAAACTTAATCTTACAGATAATGAAATGACCACAATGCTAAAGCGCCCATCTATGGATTTTAATAAGAAAGTATTGTAATGTGCTAACGTTCAAACTCAAGCACCCAATTTTTCTGTTTCAATAAGCTTTATTCATTTCTAAGTTCTTGGTCACTTCTAAATAATCTCAAATGATATTTCCAACTTCTCTCGTCCTAGGTTTCTTTACCCTGAATTCTCTATATAAGCTGAGAGCTGTTTCAAAATTTATTTTGTTTTGATTGTTTTTTTTGCTGAAAACAGCTTTGTTTCACACTTTTAAAGCTACTAACAATCCGAAGCTGCTTCATTCAAATTGCTGTATCTCTTTTTAAAAAGGCAAAGCTGTATCACAATTTGCAGCTTCAAAAGATTTTTTGCAACCCCGAACGCAAAAAAGGCAAATATGTTCATATATTTAAATTAGATTGTACCAAAAGTAAACACTTTCATATAAATTGAGCTTCTGTTTTGGTTTTCCTAACGGTAGGGTACCATTCGATAGAACGGAGCAAGATCTACAAAAAAAAACCACCAAAGATTCATCTAATTCGTAATCCAGGTAATTGAGGCCAAAAATCAAAATTTTTCAGCTGACCTAAAAATCGGACCTCCATCCAGAAAATTCAGGATTTCTAACTTGATCTTTATATATAATAGTTATCCACATAATATTAGGTTGTCCCGAAAGTTTTGTTGGTTTTTTCAAACCGCTATAAAATTATGCACAATAAAGACCTGAATGAGTTTCAACATGCATTCGATGCAGCTTTTCCCTCTATTTCTTAGGGTTACATTTTCGAGCAAGAATCTTGTATGCTTATTTTAATAATTGTTAAAATTCACTAGTCATTTTTATCTGCTCAAAGTTAGGCTAATTTTTAAAAATGTTCCGAAGGTGGCTAAATATGGCTCCAATAGAAAAATTTTCGGACTACAAAGGGATTTTTTTAGATTCTCTTAACCTGCTGTTTTTAGCTTCAAAAAATTATTTCTTTGGAGGCCTCTATTTTTGGCAAATTCGTGAAACACGCAACTACAACAAAAACATGAAAGCCTTTGATATTGCTGCGGTTTGAAACTTGATTGTTAACGAACAGTAATTATGCAACATAACCAAGTTTGATTTGCTTTGAAAAACTAGCTTTTTGAAATTTACGGTAATTTACGTGATAGACGTAATCAAAAAGCCCGGTTTTTCTTAAATAAATAATTATAACAGATTTGATAAAGGTGGCCCATGTAATCTAAAACAAACACAATGTAGCCGAAGATTTGCTCTACATAATAATTATTAGCGCTTTTTGAAAACATGAGGATAAAATTTTTTAAATTCACGAAAGATTTGGCGTCAGTGCTGAACTGCTTAAAAGGCCATGGCGATAACATTGCAAAGGCAGAGTAGATCAAAAAGCAAATATGGCTGTAAGAAAGAGGATAGAAATCTGAATCAAATGATACCTAAATCGTCCATAGATTGGTGTTCTTTGGGTTTTGGTGCGCGATGAAAAAACCGACAAAACTTTCGGGACAACCTAATAATATCCAAGAATGTATTTGATTGATTTGTTCCGGAGCTCAAAATTTGGGAAGCAAAGATGTCGACAACGCTAAAACGCCACTTTCTTGGGTTTCATGTGAAACTTATTTCTCGATCTTTCTCGAGCACAGAATTACGAGGGTTATACTGCTTGTAGCAGGGGCTGGGGCGAAGCTTGCCAATATTGGGCTATCTTTTTTCTCGCTTTCTATGGCCAGAGAAACCCAGTAAAGGCACATTTGAATACTACTATGTGCCTACTGTATAATGACCAAGTTGGAGGTTCGTAGTGTTTCTTGCAAAAATTCAATTAAGCGACGAAATTTTTTTTCGATAATGCGACTTAAGCGGATCTTTGATGATCATTTAGTGGAGCTTGATTTGCTCTATCGAGTGATACCCTAAATACCAGGAGAACAAAAAGAGCTTAACTATTTGAAGATGGACTTTATTTTTGGGACAACCTATTATAATAACATTTAATTGAAAACTTTCGCTAAACTCGAACGCTTCTAAGGTATATACCACCTAATTTGGTGCAAGGTTGCCACCCACTAGTGTCGTATACGAGAAACGGCACAATTATGTAGCTGCTAAATACATTTCGCACTACGTATTACTTCTTTTCAAATCAAAAAAGTCAATACTTACGCAAGATTGCTTCACACAAAGCTCTCTTACCTTTTGATTCGACTGATTAACGGCTGGAACGCAGTCCTTTGAGGCCCAATCACAGAATGGTCAAAGAGCACACTCGCGAAAGAGGCGCAGACTGCGTCACCGGTGCGAGCGTCGCCTTTCAGCCGCCAATTCCGTTGAATCAAAAAGTAAAATGGTGAATTCCACTACTTTGAAAAATATCAGAAAACTGTCAGATTTTTCACTAAGACACGGTTACAAATGTGATTAGAAAGAATGCGAGTTTTTGTAAAGGATACTGTATAATAATCTTTAAGAAGTTAATTTTCAAAATGATTGCCGATAAGAACTTTCGAAAGTGATGAAAGTCACGCTTTTAGGGTGCCCTTTTATAATGCAATGCCCGCTCCTCCCACCCTCTACCGTCCTGTCTCTCTGTTCGCCACTGTCTGCTGTTAACTATAGCTTGCAAAAACCCTACATAAATTTGTTAGCATTTTGCGATAAGACTACTGCTGAATAGAGACAGACATAGGTCTCAGGTCAGAGTAACCTTAATGCTGATTGAACTCATTACTCCTCCATGCTTTGAGATATTGCAAATCCTGTACTTCGTTCTCATGACAGGCGAAAACACAGCTACGATTGAGCGGCTTTAAAATCGAGCGGTCGTCGAGGGACTGTAGGCATTCATTTCAATGACATTTTCCGTCAAAGTGTGTGTTGTTATCCACATTGTCAAGTATATTTCGACGGAAACTCTTCAAAGGTAAGAAAAAAGTTTATGTAAAAGGAACGAGCGTTCATTGTCGCATGTGTAACAAGCCTGTAGCGCTTAGGTGTCCAAAGCTACGAGCGGACAGCTGAGTTCAAGACATGTACGTCCATTCCGTAGAATTTTATATTTCATCTCTAGACCGATCCTGACCAGACTTAGTACACATACATTTCGGGGCGGCAGGTTTTGTAGGCAGCTTTTCCTTACCGAAGGTTGTCGATTTTTGCAAAATTGAGCTACCTGAGGGTTGGGCAAAACTGCGTGGCATGCTCCGCGTACGTCGCGTAGTCTGGCTCAACCCTGAGAGCTGGCACGGGGGGGGGTATGCTGACTGCGAATACAACATTAATTACTAAAATTTTCCACAACCTGAAATTTTAAAGTCTGAACTATGAGCCAAGAGTTGAGGGATTAGCGAGATGTTGATTGCGAGTACATAGTGGCCATGGTGATTTCTGTCATAGTGTATTGACAGGGCCTTCAGGTATCGGGTACGCCAGCTAATTCATGTTAATTCTGCTGCATCTTATATTTGTGATTTCCTGCCAGGTAGTTCTGAATCTCAGTGGATGGCCACAAAAGGATCACGTCACTTTTAGCGTTGGAGAGCACTCACTAAAGAATGCAATTTCGAAGAAAGCACGATATGCGATTATAAAATTTTTTTGACATGGTATCGTGTCTTATCAGTATGAGCACACTTATCTGCCAACATATGTCATCTATTATGACGAGGCTTGCTAGAGATGGAAATAGAAAGAATTATATCGTTTTGTCGTTTATCACAAAAATGTTTTAGCTAAAATCAGCTATATATGACATTAGGATCCACATTCTAAACCATCTCCATTTCATTCCTCATCTTATATATAAAGCTGAATGTCTGTCTGTCTGTCTGTATGTCTGTATGTCTGTACGTATGTGCGGAATAGAAATTTTTATTTCTGAACCGATTTGGACCAAACTTGGCACACATATACTTCGGGGATTTGGCACAGGGGGGTAATCGAGCATGCTGATCACCCCGGAGGGGTTGATCAGCATGCTCGATTACCCCCCCCCCTGTGCCAAATCCCAGCCCCCTAGCTCAAATTTTGCAAAAAATCGATAAAATCGACATCGATCGATAACGAAAAGTGGACTATTACACGCTCCCTGCCCCGAAGTGTATGTGTGCAAAGTTTGGTCCCGGGCGGAGCCGGGTTTGCCATCTAGTTGTTGATAAAAATCATGACTTATAATAACGGGCTAAGAAGGGTTGTGTGTGTTGTGGGTGTTATGTGTGTATGTGTGCATGTGATGTGTGTATGTGTGCACGTGTGTATATGGTGTGTTATGTGTGTGTATGTGTGCATGTGATGGTGTATGTGTATATGTGTGATGTGTTTATGTGTATATGTGTGTATGTATGGTGTGTATGTCTATATGTGTGTATGTGTGTAGAATACCACTCTCAAAATGTGCAAAATTTCCTGGAAATCCAGGAATTTTCGCGTGGTCAACGCGAATCACGCAAAATACGCAGCACCATAACTTCCTTCAGAATGAGTATATTCTGAATCCGGAAGCAGCATTGT